TATATATATATATATATATATATATATATATATATATATATATATATATATATATATATATTTGCGAATATCTATATATTTTGAACCCCAGGCCCACTGAGACCGTAGAGGTGAGAAGCTAGCAGCTCCTCCCTATCAGCTTGTCAAGCTCGCAGGCAGGACTGAGGGTGGCCCAGCATAGACGCGGGGACCCGGGGGATCCCGGAGGCGCGTTTCTCCGCAGCCCCTCGGGGTGGTGTGGGGGGCTCCAGTCCCGTCCCGGCCCTGCCACGTCTGCGGAGGGAGAATAAAGCCCCGAGACAGGAAGACGAGTTGGGGTTGCACAGCCAGAGAGGATTCCGTTTCCCCGGAGCGTGGCGTGGTTGGGGCTTCCTATCCGGGACAGGCGAGTGTCACCACCCCGTGAGCAAATCCTGGGACCTCGGCACAGCCGGCTCCGGGGCACCTGGCCCCGCGCCCGGCTCGGAGTTCGAGACTCTGGCCGCTCGGCGCCCTGGGGCCCGCGGGCTGCCGACCCGGTGGCCTTTATCTCTGTCCCCCCCCCCCACCCCCTTTGTTCCTTTTATCTCAGGCTCCGCAGGAGGCCCGGAGGGGCCGCGCTGTCCTATCGCCTCCCGGCCGGGCTCCCTCTCGAATGCCCCGGAGGTCCGAGGCTGCGGAGGAGGAGGAGCGGGGCCACCGGGCGGCTCGCTGAAACCGGGGCCGGGCAGCGACGCGGGACCGGCGCGCCCCCCACCCTCCCTCCCACCGAGGGCCACGGCACCGAGCCACCCGCCAGGGTCCCCGCATCCGCTACCCCCCGGGGCCGCGCGCTCCCACCCACCATGGCTCCGGGCCGGGCGGTGGCCGGGCTGCTGCTGCTGGCGGCCAGCGGCGGCCTGGGGAGCCCCGCCGAGGGGCCCGGGCTCGCCTTCAGCGAGGATGTGCTGAGCGTGTTCGGGGCCAACGGGAGCCTGTCGGCCGGCCAGCTGGGGCGCCTGCTGGAGCGTCTGGGCGCTGCACCCCACCAGGGAGCGCTGGAGCTGGGCCAGCTGCACTTCAACCAGGTAAGGGCCCCCACCCCCACCCCCACCCGGCCCGCGGCTTCCCCGCAGAGGCCCATCCCCACGGCGAGGGGCGAGGGGCGCCAGGGGAAGGATTCGTGGTTTAGTTTTATTTTTCCCAAGTTTTGGGCGGTGACCGAGGAGCGGCCCCTGATTCCCGCTGGTGGGTTTGCGGGGGATAAGGGATTAGGGGGTCTGGCAGCCAGAAGGATCAACCCAGCCGTCAGGGGGCTTGTTGGGCCACAGAAAACGGGACGGAAAAGGTGGTCGAGGTAGCTGAGGGCGGAAAGTCAGCCGAGGCAGGCGAGCGTTTTAGATAGGAATTAAAGTCTTGCGGAGAGGGCCGTTTAACGCACATGTTCAGCAGAAGGGGCCTGTCACATGCGGTCCTTATCAGCTCCGGGGTAAAGGACCACTCCCACTTAAAAAAACAAAACAAACAACACCTGCTCTTGTGTGTATTGTGCAAGGCGGTTACAGCACACATGGGGAAACTGAGGACACCCTGAAATTCAGAGCAGAGCGTGGTTGGTGATTCAGTCAGTGGCCGGTGGGGACTGGAGTTGATTTTTCCAGTCATGCCAAGTGTCTGATTCTAAAATTCATTCAAAATAATACAACACACGTTTCTCAGTGCATGTGAATCTGTTTATTCACCAATGCCTCGGATTTAAGGGCAGGCTTCGACTTGGTAGTAAATAATAAATCACACCTGTCTCGGGGCTGGGGCCACAGCTTGGTGATGGAGGCCCCAGTTCTACCTCTCAGCGCTGCAAGCCATCGGAGGAGGCCTTAAATCCACGCTTCCCCTGCTTACCGACTGTGTTAAGTAGCAGAGGGAGAAGTTCGTATATCGTCTGGGGTAGTTCTGGTTTGCTGGAAAGGTTTCTGTTGCTAAGATGTTTTGGGAAATTCTGCATTCTACAAATGCTTCTTTTGGAAACATGGCATTTCCCGGTGAGTCTGATCCTTGATTACAGTTAAGAAAACTACTCAGATAAATTTCTTGACACCCATCAGCAGTACAGTTAGCGTCTTTCCTTCCTTCCTTGGGATTAGAATTAGACGTAGTTTGTCTTGCTCATGAGTCAAGAGCTCTACCACTAAGCCCCATGGCTTTGTTTCTATTAGTAATATCTTTCAGCAGTTACAATGCTCACAACACAAGATTCGGAGTTTTTCTGATGCTGTGACATATGGTCTTTGACCTGGAAGGATTTTGTGAAGCCCCCCATGCTGAGTTTTTAAATGTGAACTGTCCTAAGTTTCATTTCTTGCATGTTTTTTTTAAATATTTGATTTAATGTTTGAGAAATTACATCTTGCAAAGACTGAAATATCCACTTATTTCATTGATATATTTTGAAACAAAGCAAGTACTATTGTAGGTCTTTTTCTGGACTAATCATATTGTCTTCTTTTAAAAGGAAAAGTTACCTGAGCTGGCTAGTTTCTAGGTAGGTGTGGCCATTTGCTTGGAAGGAAGCTTAAGGCCTGGCTTGAGGCTGTATCTGTAACCCACAGATGTTGACTTAAATGATAGTCTTATCTGACAGAGTCTGGAGGTGAATTTGAAAGGGGCCAAAGACCCCAAGCTCCTTTGCAAAAATAGTAGGGGTATGCCTAATCTATTTAGGAAAACTGGTTGAATTTACTGGTAATACCCTGTTTATTTTGTAAGCAGGTAGGATGTCTCAGTAGGTAATTATAGGTTGAGGCCTTTATTCTCATTTGCATGTGTACTCTCATCATGAGCATCAAAAAGGTACAGAAGGAAGCCCATTATTAGCTTGGAAACACAGACAAGCCAAGAAAAACTCAGAACCAATCAGGCTTAACCAGCATCTCTTTGCAGTTCTGTGAAGTCTTAATGAAAACAGCAATCATTGGTGAAATGATGACAAAGGCTAAGCTAGAAGAAGCCATTTATTTGCTGGTAATTGATAGATAGACTTGTGAAGGCACTCATGTGCTCCAGCATAAAACCGTCAAATTTGAAATGAAACTGAGGACCCTTAATGTGTTCCAAGTTGAAACAATGCAGCTTCAGTTCTCAGTTGGGCTCAAAGTAGAACCAGGTAAAGTCTATTGTGAGAAACTTAATTTTATCTGACTTTGAAGAAGTCTGAGAAAGTGGAAAGGTTTCGATGGGCCAGATACTTCTTAATCTTTTACAAGATATATTGGCAAACAAATTGTACTTTTGGATGAGAGCTTTGATAGTGGTTGAATCATCTTCTCTCAGGCAGGAGGTTCATTTGAGAAATTTGGAAATACTTCGTCTTTTTTTTTTCTTTTCGGCATTCATAGGTACTGTTACCTTGCTGCTTAGAGAAACAGAAGTTGCTTGCATTCACAGTGGAGACAATTCAGTTTACAGTTTTGCTTTTTAATGATTACCGAGGGTAAAAAGACTTAGGTGGGGGAACAACCCAAACTATGAAAAGAAGGCTGGGGTAGCCAGGTAGTTGGGGGGGGCTTGACTGACACAGAGACTCATGGGTCCTGGTTCTGGAAAATACTCCTAACACCCAAGAAAAGCCCAGAGGCTAGAACATCTAGGAATGATGGGTCTGGGGGGTCGTGGTGTTGCTCTCTCATTTCCCTTCTTTACTTTTCCCTCCATCTTATTGCCGCCTCCTTTTATATGGACACTGGTTGAACAGCTTGAGAGAAGGGATGCCCTCATCTACTAGATTGTTATGCTGAGCTCCAGGAACACCCCCAGGAACAGGTGGTGGGTCACACGGTGGCTTTTATTCCACACTGTGCCTCCACCCTGCACTTGGGCTTCATCCCCCGGACACTTTCCTGTGCACCTTGAAGCACTCGTTTTTCTTTCACAGTCCTGTTATCATCAAGTTGCCTATGCCCTATTTTTAGATGATGCGAATATATAACCAGTCTTCCTAAAGCAACATGGGATGATTTCTTTGACTACCCCTCCATAAACTCTTTTTCTTCACTAATGAAGTCCAAATCTTGAGCCTGACATTAACGTCTCTGTTCTCCTTGTGTCAACCTTCCTCTTCAGACCTGGCACCCGCTGAACTGAACAAGTCACACTTCTGTAAGTTTCTGTATGCCTTTGCTCAATATCTTCTTTGGAGCCTTCCCGCCTCCAACTAGAAAGACCAGCTTTCCCTCGAGTTCTCCAGTCAAAACAAACATCTTAGGAAAGCCTCGCCACTCTTGTCCTAAAAATCATGTCATTCTTGATTGCTCTATTTTCTGAATTCTTATAAGATTCTTATTATGCTACCATCAGTTACCTATGTGTGTGTCCAGCAGATGCCTCTACTGACTTCTATAAATGGCAGTGCTCATTTTAAGTACAAAGCTGATTATATAACTCTTCTAAAGCAACTCAAGCCCTTTGAGATAAACTATAAACACATTATTATCATTGTCATCGTCGTCATCATCATCATCATCATCATCATCATCATCATCATCATCATCATTTGGAAGTTCTGGTGGCAGAACCCAGGGACTCTAGAGACCTAGGTGCTGCTCAGCTATTTGTAGTCCCTAAACATCAAGTGCTTTAAGACGGCTGAACAGCCTTTTTGTGCTGTGTCTTCCTAGGTCTTTCAAGTTATCGTTTGATACCATGTATCAAACCCATGTACCCAAGCATGAGCTTTTTCAGATATGGCCAAGAGTTTAGGAGGAATTCCTTTTTCCCATGTACTTCTACATTAGTTGATAAAAATTGCTACTAAGGTTGTTGCTTGGGTTCGTTTTCTCTGCCAGGTAAAAAAATTAATCATCAGAAAAAAAAAAAAATCTTGAGCACAAAAGGTAGCAGCAGGGAAAATCTCCCACAAAGCAGACAGAAATCAACCAGTAAAGAAAGACTTTTATTAAGAGCCAGTGAACACCTCATAATAAAGCACACAGAAATACACTCTGCAAAGTTGGGTAGGGCTCGGGAGTGAGATGAGGAGTGGGGGAGGGGGCTTGGGAGCCCATAGTCTGGCTTCTCTTTGAGGGAGAACATTTTAAGATTTTTGAGAGATAGTTCATTCCTAATTTAGGGGTAGCCACTCTGAAGACAGGGAAGCTGCTAAGTCCACAGCTTCGGGCCTTGTTCTGGCCTTGAGCTTGCATTACTGGGCCACAGGCAGGGAGCTCTAAGCAACCAGGCCTTTAGGCCTTTGTCTCAGACCAGGAGTATGAAGAGGAAACTATACTTTCTGCCATTTTTATTACTTATTTGTGACTCCTCTTTCTGTCTGTCTGCCTGTCAGGAACCTACCTTATTCCTTGTCCTTCCCAATCACCATACAGTATGTATATAATGTTTTGTATTATTATGATTTTCTCCTTATGTGGCTGTATCTCATACCAACCATCCTCTCCAGTGTGGATTTAACAAGCAGATGGGAACGATCAACTCTCCTCTGCAGGGGCTGAGATAGTATGTGCTTCATACCATGTATGCATTAGACACTTTTGTCTGGGATTTTAGAGACAAAATCTCCCTTCTGTTGGGCCTCAAATTTTGTGGTTCCTGCCTCACCTACTCAAGTGTCCAGATTTCACTAGAATTTTTTTTTTTTTTGGTTGATGAATGAAGGTTGTTTAGATGGGCAGAAACCTGGATTTTCATCGTTGAGTTCACTGAAGCAGGTAGAACACACGTGCGTGTGATTGTAATGCATGCTTGAAAGCTATGCCTGATTAGAGAATACAAACAGAAGTGAGGCAAGAGCAAACCTGCATTTCCAAAAGCTAGTGTGAGAGTGTGGAATGTATAGCATGGGTAAAGGTGAGGGTTGAGGAGGAAGCTGCAGTGGATTTTACAAGATGCCGTGACCATTCCAATCTGGAGATAGCAGAGGGCAATTATACAGGATCTTCCAGAGAGTTTGCATCCTCTTCGGCAATATTTATTTATTTGCAGTGTTGAATATCTAACATGATAGATAATTATGCCATCACTGAGCTATGTTCCTTTTCTGCTACTACAGTTTTTTGCCTGGAATGACCATTTAATT